TCCCAGCGAATCTTTAAAATAGACTAAACAACATATTCCCACCAAGGTTGAGCGAAGTCCCAAGGTAATACTTTGGTTTCATTTATTCCAAATACCTACTCTTAAATTAACACCATTTCCTTTATTTTAACCATGAAGGGGCAAATTGGTCTTTCTATTTTTTTTCCTCTTCCCTTCCCATTTCTTCCCTAGTGCACCTCCTTCTCCCATCTTCTTCCTCTTCCCTTTCCCTTTCCCTTTCTTCCTTATCTTCGCCTCCTCCTCCCATCTTCTTCTTTTTCCCTCCACACCTCCTCCTCCCCGGCATCTCACCATCCCAACCCACTACCCCCCCAACCATCTTGACTCCCCCTTTCGCCGTCACCCTTCACCTCAAATGTCAACCTCCGACAACTTCTTTCCCGCAACCCCATCACCGAAAATCTTTATCAAGACCACCATTTAACTCATCAAAGAGCCCTCTCCAATAACCCCATGCTTTCCGTCCCCGATTTCTCACCTTTCAACACCGATTTAAGCCCCCTCTCCTTGGGGTTTCTATTTTGCTTTTGTATTTTTTTTTTTTATGTTTTTATGTTTTTCTTATTGAAATGGTGTGATTTTTGGTGCTTGCTATTGGGTTTGGAATGGGGTGATTTGGCATGATTGTGGTAGTGGTTTGAACATTGTGGTGGTTTTGGGATGGGGTGGTTTGGAATAGGCTGTGGTGGTGGTAGTTTGGTCAGCTGTGGGATTTGGAATGAGGTAGTTTGGATGGTTATGGTGGTGGTTTGGGATGGGTTGGTTTGGAATGGGCTGTGGTGGTGGTTTGATTGACTATGGTGGTGCTGTGGTGGGTTGGAATGAGGTGAAGGATAGTTTGATAATAGCGTTTGCCAGAGTCTAATAACCACTAATTATGTTAATTAAAGGGTGAATATTTAGAATAAATGAAACTAATAGCATTAACTAGGTTTTAACTGAACCTCGGGTGGGGATATGTGGTTTACTCCTTTAAAATAAAGTATATATGGGTCATGTCGAGTGGACTGCAATATCGAAGCACGATATAATATAAAATACACTGACCGAGAATTAATAAAAAATGACTTTGCTTTTCCCTTGTTAATAAAATATCAAATATTGAAATATGACTCCGCCAAAATATTCTCTCTAACCGAAATAAAATATATATTTTCCATAAGGAGGACGAGAAACTGAACGCACCGTTTCTCTTTGCTCCTTTTGTGGCTAAACGCTAGATTTTTCGCCGGAGAAACTTGTCTAGATGGTAGCACTAAGAGTACTGTTTTGAAGTTAGAATTGTGGTCAGAGTCGCTGCAGAGACAGCTGGTCGCCAGCAGAAGTTCCGGTCGCACCGCATCGACAACTTGATTCTGCCGGTAATCTTCTTTTATTTTAATTTATTATTATTATAAATCGGTAATTTTAGTAGAAGTGTTTTTTAATTTTTATTAGTTTTTCAGATTCAGGTCAAAGTTAAATTTTTTAAAAATTTTTTTATTGAGATGATCACTACAAATAAGTGATTAAGGAAAAAAAAAAAAAAAAGACTAAATCTAATTAAATACCAGTGATAAGTGCAAAAACAAACAGCCCCTAACTGTTTCCTCATTAAAGTGAAGAACTGGAAATTAATTAAAGCTTTAACTTGAGGTTGTTCTAACTTGAGAAAGTATCAATTTCAAAAACAGCCCAACGAGTAATGCCAGATTTCAAAATTTTTATTTATCAATAGTCTTTTTTTTTTTTAAATTAAATTAACAATTTAGTAAAATAATTTCAAAATTCGGCTGCAACGCTGGCGCTACTGAGATCGTCGTATGGCTATCTACATAGTGACGTAGCTATCAGATCTGTCGTTTGGTTGCAAAAGGCCGACAAAGATTTGGTTGTATTTTAATATATTTCATTATACAAGAATTTAACGAAAGGTTTGGTTACTTCTAGGTGATGAGATTTGATATATTACAATAATATATCAAATCTCATCACCTAGAAGTAAAAACAATTTAAAAAAATTAAACACCTTACAAACTTTTATTGAAAGTTATTGAAAGTTAATTATTGGGAGATTATTAATTTCAAAAAACAATCACAAAAATACCACAAGTTTCAAAATACGAAGTAAAGGGCTATTTAATTACACAAAGAGTAATGCTACAGTCACCAAATTTATACACCGAATGACGTAATAAAATCTTGATCGTTGATTAATTTTAACTTAATATTAATCAATGGTTAGGATTTTGCTACGTCATTCAGTACATGAATTTGGTGTATAACCTTCGGTGACTGTATTCTTTCCGTTACACAAATACTTTAAACTTAACTGGTTGTACGGGTGTTTTTCTCATTCAATATTTTTTATAGGAAATAAATCAGAAATTTTTATGTAACATGTGAGCCAATTCAGATGTGCCACACGTCAAATAGAAAAATTAAAATAAAACGAATATAAATTTGAAAAGACAAAAAATTGAAAATAATATTTTATTTGTTTGTTTAAAGAAAACTTCCAATTCTTGCCTAACTCAGTTTCTCTTTTACTTCAATCGGAAACATGTAATTAAACTTCCAATCTTCCACTGCTGCTGGCCTCCTCCTTTGGCCGCCGGCCAGCCTGGTCACTGGCCAAATCCAAGCTAGCAGTTGTCGCCGTTGCTGGCCAAAATTATGCTAGCACCTCTTATTAAAAAATATTTTCAGCTTTATTTTTTTAAAATATTAATACTCTTATCAATTGAAAGTAAAATTTTATTTTATCGGGTATAATTAATTTAGGATAAAATAGGGTTGTGTTAGTCTTTTCTCATTAAATTTCAATATAAATATATTACAATAAGGGTGCATTTGATTCAAGGAATGTTGTATTTATATTAATGGAAAGAAAGATTACCTTGAAGATTATTGGAAATGTTTAGAGCAATGTGTTTCGTTAGGTTGAAATAAATTGGTGAGTGTGTTATATTGATATGTTTGATTGGGATAATAAATTACTGGGTATGTTATATATAGATTATTAAATGTTCTCTTTTTTAAATATTAATATAATATTATTTTTATTATTATTTTTTGAATCATTTGTTTAACCCACTACATTTGAATTTTGCTAAAACACCCCAACTTACATAAAACATTAATTTGTAACAAAATCATCCCGTCCACCCCAAATCACTACTAGCCACCACCGGCCACTGCTAAAATGGTGCATGACTGGTCAGATCTGGCCGATATGCATCGATCTGGCCATTTTCGGTCATACCAGTGGTCGAAAACGGCTGATATGGCCGAAAATCTCCAGATGGCTATGAATTTGGCTGAAAATGGCCATATCTATTCTGGCGATTTGACTAGATCAATGGTCGTTAACGGCCAAATCTATGGCTATTGTGCGCCGGGGAAATGGCCATTAATGGCCATATCTATTATGGCGTCCACGGCCATAAATCTGGTCATTAACAGCCAGATCCATTGATCTAGTCGGAGACGGCTAGATTTCTAGCCAAATCGATTCATAGCCAGCTAGATCCAACGGTTGTGTGCCGTTTCGGCGACTGTCGGTGGTAGTGGCTGGCGGGCAGCGGCAGTCCTAGGTGACTTGCAATTTGTTTTAAATATAAGGACATTATTGTCCAAAAGCTTAATTAATTAGGGGTAAAATTATAATGGCAGATTCATGTAGATTAATTTCAAAATAAGGGTATCATTATCCAAAAATTTTATTAATAAGAGATAAAATTATAACAAAAATAAGATTACTAAGTAATATTAAAATATCTAAGAAAATAGAGGTAATCAGATTACCTCTTATATTATTAACAATAAGTATTATTTGTATTGAAGGATTATTAAAATCTTATATTACTTGATAACAAAACATGATAATCCAAATAATATAAGATAACATTATCTCATTAATAGGGATTACCCCAACCAAATATTCCCTATATGCACGCAATTTTAGTTAAGTTTAATGCAGTATCAAGCAAGCGACCCCTTTTCATTGTATTTTGAAACTTGTGTCCCTTTTGTGATTGTTTTTGAAAAAATTGACCTTAAATTAATAATTTGAAAAGTAGCCCACAAGTGATTTCTAAAGAAGCTTGAACAATCTCAAACTAGTCTTGTTAATCTATTAAAATATATATAACAGATTACAAAAGTCGACAAGAAATTAAAAAAAAAAAAAAATGATGGCTAACTTATAGTGGAGTGGAAATGACATAAAGATTATGTATGTACTTAATAGAAGTTACAAATTTATATCTACATAGCACGATGTTTTCTCTACATCCAATTTTTTTATTTCATTCATATTAAATTTTAAAATTAAATTTTTATTTTTTATACCTTATAAATTGAAAAATAGCTTTACATAACAATCATACATTCAAGATAATTCTGATTGAATGAAAAATATAGAAAAAATTAAAAAAAAAAAAAAAAAAACATAAACTATATGACAAGCTATAGAATTATTCATCAAAAATAATTTCTCCTATATTTTTCATCAAATTAAACTTAACAAAACTTTTAATGTTCAAATTAAGAAGTAACTTCTTGAGCTTGTGCTAGTGGAATGGTTTATCTTTGAAAATATGAGGTCTATATCTTATAAAATTAAAGGTATAAACTTCAAAAAAAAAAAAAAAAAAAAAAAAATTACAGCTTTGTGTAGCCTCAACCCTAATCGACAACTATCTCTGGGTGATAGAGTGGTTTGATAAGAATTTTTGGGTGTATTACTCAAGAGGTTTGAGTTTGAATCCTTTCTTGGTGACTAACAGGAGTAGCCACTTGAGGTTTACGCGATAGTTTAAGATCTAGAGGATTAGGTGATATGCGCATAAGCTGGCTTAGACACTGATCAGTACCAAAAAAAAAAAAAAAAAAAAAAAAAAAAAAAAACCTAATTGGCTTTCTATTTTATGTAGTTTAGCACATTCTAATATTGTCTCTTTTTTTCATTATAGACAGCACCTCTTCCTATCCCGATCATGGCCAATGGGAAATCAAATCTAGTTGCTCTTCCTATCCCCTTCTTTACCGGGGAAAAATACCATTTTTGGAGTACTAAGATGAAGACATATTTTTTGTCCCAAAACTTATGGAAAATTGTTAATGAGGGACCGGAAAACACCTCCACGCTATCTGAGCCCGAGCTACAACAGCATCAGCAGAATGATGCAGCAGCACTATTCATCCTTCAACAAGCTCTGGATGATTATATTTTTTCAAGAATTTCTGAAGCTAAGACGGCGAAAGCAGCATGGGAGATTTTAAAAGCAGAGTTCCAAGGCAATTCAGAGGTAAGCGCTACCAAACTATAATCTCTTCTTCATTACCACTTATCACCTCTTCTTCATTACAGCTTATCGCTTCTTCTCTATCAAAGACTCTCGCCATGCCAGAACAGGATATGGGTAAGTAGTAGAAAATTGAAATGAATTTTCCCAAGTAGATAAATAATATTCCAACCAAGTATTAAAACTTTTCCGTTTGTTTTTATTGCAGAGAATTGCAAGAAATACCTGCCACTATATAATGCCATACTCGAAGGCGATCTGTTATCTGTACGACAGTTCTGTGATGAGGATAAAGAATCGTTAGAAGCCAGGATCACGGTAAACTGGGACACAGCTCTTCATGTAGCTGTTGGGACATGCAAGGCTAATCATATTGTGGAGTATCTAGTAAATAAGATGTCAATGGATCAAGTGTCACTGAAAAATAAACAGGGCAACACGGTCCTTTCCGTTGCTGCAATGGCTGGCAATCTCCAAGCAGCCAACATGATAATGACGAAAGATGAAGAGAAAAGCTTGATTGTAGTTAAAAACAACTCTGATGGGATACCTTTAATTGAGGCCGCTCGACATGGGCAAAAAAAGATGACTAAATATCTAATGCGATTTAGCAAAACTTATTTGGTGTATGCTACTGAGGCACGTTTTCGAGATCATTCTGGTGGTTATTTATTAAGTTCACTTATAATTGCAGGATTCTATGGTGAGTTAATTCTGTCCGTTTGTTATTAGACTTTAACGAGATCTCACACTTTTAAAGTAAAAATGCAAAGCCGCGCAAGTTTGATTTCACTTTATTAATAATCCTAAATTCCTCTCCATCTTTTATGTCTCAGACTTGGCTCTAGAATTGCTTCGATGGAATAAAAGCTTAGGCAAATATGTTGGTGAGTCTCTTTTGACTGAAATAACCAGAAAGCAGTCTGCATTTCAAAGTGGAAGANGAGAGAACCATGATTTTCCTTCATGGTGAGTATGATAAGAATAAGAGAGAACCATGATTTTCCTTCATGGTGAGTAAGCATAAGAGAAGAAGAAAAGAGAATGAGAACAGAGAGAAAGAAAGAATAAAAAGAGCAGAACAGAGTTAAAGGAGAATAAAAGTATTAGAAAGAAAGAGAAAAATAGTGAGAATTAGAAATAGAAGAACGGTAGAGTAAGGAAAGAACCCAAGAGTGAGTTGTGGTGACAGGTAGTCGAGGATTTACTTACTAAGCATTGTTGTGCTCACCCCACTGTTTTTCCTTGTTTTGCAGGAATTAGGAGCAGCTGTCAGATGGATGTCGAGGAGTGGAGAGTATTGGCACTACTGTCCACCAGTTATGATATTTTATATTAAGTAGAAAGTTTTTAATATAGAGTACTTTGTATATGTAGAAAATTATATTTTATGAGTAAAGAAAAGTTTGAGCCCACTATCTGCCATACGCTATGTATGTCTATAATTTGCATAGTATGCATTATCTGAATAGTAGTAGAGAGCAGGTGTTACATTGTTGCATGGTGGGTAGTATGTTTATGCTTTTGATACAATCCCGAACGAAACTTTGTGATATCCCCAAAGAAATTTTTTTTTGCTCTTTGTAATGAACTTGGTAATCACTTGGAGTAGTGGTAGTATCAAGTCATTGAAAGGATTCAAACATGCTCATATCTTTAGGAAATGCTGAAGAGTATGCAATTCTAGATGGTTGTGTAAATTATGGTTGACTACTTGATTTTGTTGTGTACTAGCCGAGCCTTGTCTTCACTCCCTACTATTTAAAAAAAAAAAAAAAAGTGCGCATATACAGTCTTGAAATAAATTAACTATGCTTATTTGTTTATTTTTGAATGAACTACTCCGCTGTTTCGAGCTACTTAGTAACCAGGAGTACTCATGAGACCCATGTTTGCTTTTGCATCAAACCCTAGCTTGAATTATGAGTATGCAAAGCACTTTATGTGTTGTGACATTGCTGAGTAACTGGAGGCATTCATCACAAATGTGTGCATTCGCGTAAAAAGGTGATGCGACAATCTAAAGAAGTCTCTAAAACAGAAACAAAAAAAAAAAGAGAGAAAAATAAGCAGGGGGTTAACTATAAAGTCTAGGGGAGGCACGATTGGGTTGGGGAAAGATTAGAGTTGCACAATTAGCTGGGTTGTATGTTTGGATGCATGAGAATTATTTAAAGCATGTTTGCCTTCTTTTGTTGATGTTCGAAGTGCTGCGAATCCTCGATGATTTTTGAGTTTGTTTTTCTGATATTTTCTTTACTCGGGGATGAGCAAAAGACTAAGTTTGGGGGAGTTGATAAGTTGCATAAATTTAGTGTTTTTAGGTTTGTTTTATAGCCTTCTAGTTAATTTCTCATTTGTTTTCTGTGTTTTTATGTTAGTTTTTGTTAAGTTTGAAATATGAATGGTCAGCTATTGATTTGAAATTTTTTTGTAATTTTCAGTCATTAATTGAGTAGATTTGAGCATTGGAATGAAATTGGAATTCAAAGCTTGAAGAAATTGAGATTAGCTAACAAGTTTGAAGGCCATGGCCTTGCCTTGGTGGTTTACCACGGCTGTGGTGGTGGAATGAAGATAAAATAACAAGGATAGGAAACACCACGGCCTAGGCTATGGTGGCGTACATTTAGACACGGCCTGGGCCGTGTCGGGCACTTTTAGGGTTTTTATTAGTTTTTCTTTCCTTTTTTGTTTAGGACTCTTTTGGGTATTTAAGGATGATTAAGATTACTCCTTGGGAGGCCGAATTTTACCCATTCTTGGAGAGAGATTATTGTGTAATAAAAAAGAAAGGAGAATCAAGAACAAAATTCATCAAAGAGTTTGTTTTTACTTTTCAATATGATTTATTTCTTGGATTCTATTCTTGTTTCTTTTATTATAAACTAATTTTCTCAGGCTAAGACTAGGGTTAGTCTATTTATGGATCTATGATCAATATTTTACTCTTTGGTTAGTGAATTATTTTTCTAATGTTGAGTTTATATTATGTGCTTAATGCTATTAGGAACTTGATCAATTTCTGATAGAATTGTTTTGTGTGATTGAGACCGAGAGGAGATATCAGATGAGTGCTCTAGTAATATAGGCCATGGATTAATTGGATATAGAGATATATGAATTGATACATACAATAGTCATAGGCAGGATTAACTTGTGCTGAAAGCTAGAGGATTTCATAAAGCTTAATGCTAGTCTATTTCATTAAATCTATATAGAGATATCTAGGTTATGAAATAGAAGTAGAATTAATATTGCTTGAGAAAGAATATTGGTTAACCTAGGAAATCCCGTTGTCACATTAATTAAATAAATTCATTAACCACAGTAAATTGAGGGGAGCAGAGAAGTTATAGATGAGCCTGAAGTCTTAGCCGTTTTCTTTCATTGAATTCTTAATTTTAGTTTTACTGCAATTCGTTTCTGATATTCCAGATTTTAATATTTTCAGTTTTAAGGATCACCATTCTAAGTTTTGATTATCTAGATAAAGTTAAGATTAATTAATATTTCAGTACTTGTTTACGCAATCCCTTGGGTACGATAACTTGTATTTTGTTATACTATATTACTTGAGACTAGTACACTTGCTAGTAGTTGTTGGAAACGATACAACAATATACTAATACATAGATAAGTAAAGATCCTTGCTTAAGAGTAAATAAACTGGAATCTGAAAAAGAATTCAGAAAACCTTGGCTGAGTAAAGCTGATTTTAACTTGTCAAACCAAGCTCTTGGAGTTATTTGAGCCCATAGAGGGCTTTGTTCAGCTTGCATGCATAGGAGGGTTAAGTTGAGTCCTCAAAACCAATAGGTTGCTTCATGTAAACCTCTTCATTCAAAGTTCCATTCAAAAAGGTGTTATTAACATCAATTTGCTACACATCCCAAGCATGTGTAATAGCCAAGGTAAGGATGATTCTAATGGTGGAAGGTTTGACTACAAGACTAAAGGTCTCAAAGTAGTCAAGCGGAGGATTTGGTTGAAAACCCTTTGCTACTAACCCAGCTTTATACTTCGACAATGAACCATCAGCATTGAATTTTGTTCTAAAAACCCACTTGTTCCCCACCACATTCACATCAGAAGGAGGGGGAACTAATGTCCAGGTTTGATTGTGCACCAGAGCATCAAATTCAGATTGCATTGCCTCCTTCCATTTAGGATTAGCTAAATCCTCAAACACTGTGGTAGGTTCTGGTTCAATAACATTCTGTTATGTAAGAAGAACAGTGGAAGGATTGACTTCAACAGTGGAAGGAAAGGATACAACAGTAGCTTTGGCTCTTGTCACCATAGGGTGGATATTAGTAACGACTGGTTGTAAGGGAATATTAGAAACATATGTCTGAGGTGGCTGGGTATGCTGTGGAGCTTCAGAGAATTTTGATAATGTAAGATCAAGCTCAAGTAAGCAAGGTGGTAATACGGATGCTGATGGTAGGATAGGAAGGGAAGAGAGGTCAAAGGATGCCTTTCCTAAAGGTTGAGTAGTAGGAGAGTGTAGAGAATTGGGATTGGAAGAGGTACTCGGAGAAGATTTGTGGGGTTTACTAAGGCTGGTAGAGCTAATATCTGGTATAGGGGTGGTGGGAACAGAACATGAATTGTCTAATGCTTAAGTGCTGTTAGTAGATTATTGTAATGAGGTAAGCACTGTGGAGGGAATATGAGCCTAACTTGTTGAAAAGGTAGAATGGGAAGAAAGAATAAAAAAAAAGGATTGTTTATGGTCAGAAGAAATAGTGGACTCAGAAGAGGATTGAGGAATAGCAGTGGAGGAAGAACTACCTTGTGAAAAAGGAAATTCAAACTCATTGAATTTGACGCAGGGAGTAATAATGATTTTTCCATTCGTTTCAAACACTTATACCCATTATGAACCAAACTATAGCCTACAAACATACATTTTGTAGAGTGAAATTGAAATTTGTGTTTATTAAAAGGTCTAAGGAAGGGAAAGCATGAATAGCCAAACACTTTCAAAGACTCGTATACTGGTTAACCTTGAATAATTGCTAATAAGGAGACAAATAAGCTAGAGTAGCTGTAGGCATTTTATTGATGAGAAAAATTACAGTTTCCAAAGCTAACCACCAAAACTGAAGGGGCATAGAGGCATAAGCAAGCAAGGTTAAACCTATCTCCACAATGTGCCTATGTTTTCTCTCACATCTACCATTTTGTTGGTGTATATGGGAATAGGAATGTTTGAACTTAATGCCTAAGTAAGTAAGGTAAGAATGCAATGCAATGTACTCTCCTCCTTGATCAGACTGTAGGCACTTAACTTTGTGACCAATTGCCTCTCAGTAAGAGTGTGAAACCTAGTAAGGACTGATTTAACTTCAGCCTTAGTCCTAAGTGGAAAAAGCCAGGTATATCTACTATAGTCATCCAAGAATTGAACATAATATCTAAAACCTTCAGAGGAAGGTAAAGGGGTAGGACCCTACACGTCACTATGAATCAATTCAAGTGGTGTAGTAGCTTGAGATATGGATGATGGAAAGCTAGTAAGATATAATTTTCCCAGCTGGCATGCATCGCAAAAAGTTGATGGAGAACTAGACAATGTTTTAGACTTAAGTAAAGCATTCTAAGGTAAAAAAAAACAATGACTTTCTGCAAAATGAGGGAATCAGGGTGTCATAAACGTTAGTGCCATGTCATGCAATCAGTATCAACTTTATCAATAGTGAAACAAGTAGCAACAGAATTGATAGCCAATAGTTCACTTATATTAGAAAAGGTTGTTTTAGGAAAACAAGGATTATTATTATTATTAATAGAGAAGGTGTTACAAGGAATAGTATCATTAAGCACAGACCGAGACAAATCACAATGTAAAGCAAAATTATTCTAAAAACTAGAGTTGCACACATGCGGACAAGAGCTCGACATACCTTCACAAGAGCTAGACAATGCATTATAACTACAGGACACAACTGGATAGGACTTGGACACAACAGGACACCTTAAAGATGATTGTGGATAGAAGAAATTGGGCAAAGGAACATTCAACTGGTACATGCCTCCCTTGAGTTCCCCTTGCAATAACGTTGCTCTGGTCAACTTGTCCTTAACATAACAACAATCAACATTAAACTCTACAGCAATATCATTATTTGCAATGAATTTTGAAATGCTTAGGAGATTCTTGTTAATGGAAGGTGCACACAAAATGTTTTTTAGATATAAACATTTAGAATGAAGAGTACTAGGTAGGGAAGTATGTCCAGTATGTAAGATAGAGA